GGAGCAAAGCAGAGCAGAGTAGAGCACAGTGGGGCAGAGCAGAGGAGGAAGAGCAGTGCCGTGTACAGATTGGTGTGGCAGCGTCGGTGCTGGTATCAGCACCGTGCCCGACATGGACAGTGAAACGGAGCAGTGGAAGTGGTGAGTGCGCATTGTGGGCTGGCTGTCTTCACCGTGGCTGCAAATTGAGGCTGGCTGTTGCTGAGGCAACTGCTGTTGTTGGTGTTGTTGTTGAGTTGCCAAGGTGAAAAGCAATTGAAGGGTGACGCGTCTGGCAGAAAGTGAGGACAGTGGCGGGAGGGTGAGGGTGTGTCTGATGTCTGCTTGAGCATTCTCGCAGCCTACGTCTGGGAGAGGTCACTTCTGCCGGTGCTCCGCCTAGGCATGTCCCTCGCACTCACCCTGGGAATCAACCCCGAATGCGTTCTACGGATAATGACTGAGTGACTGTTGTGCCACAGTGGCATCAAGGTGCGCCTTCTTTCTGGTGGTAGGGTCATTCAACTGCAGCTGCAATTGCAAGTGTACAGTGGTGGATTTGTTGGGCCACCAAAATAACCCTCACTTGATGGGCCAAATGATGGCGCTGGAAGAAGTGAGAGGGCCCACATTGGGCCAATACATCAGTCTGCACTGAAGAGCAAGTCGATATGTCTAGACGGAGACGACGTCTGTGATCGCAGCATCAACCACGAATACGACTTCGACGACAATGAAGAAGATGCAGTGGAGGCTGTGGTGGAGGAGGAGGAGGAGGAGGAGGAGGAGGAGGAGGAGGAGGAGGAAGAGGAGCAGGAGGAGGATGGTGTTGACGACTCACCATTTGGTGAAGTGAAAGTCGAGGTGCGGGTGTGGCATGTCCCCGCCTCGCACAGCCCACTGCAGTCTAGTCTACTCCCGTCCAGTCCAATCGCCTTCCAGTCAATGACACACCAACGCAGGCCAACACAGTCTAGTTTGGTGTAGCCTAGTCTGATCACAATGACCTCGTCACAATTCAGTTGGTAATTCACTTGTCAGTGGGTTGTCGTGGGTCTCCACGGACTCTTCCACAAATGCCATCGTTGTCTTGCTACAGAGGCGATAGGGCGGACGACAGCAGAGGGAGGAAAGTCGTCAGACGGGTAAGGAAAGAGGTGGTGTGCGTGGAGAAATCTTGTCTGCTTCAGGCGCGTGAAGGTGCAGCAGCGCCAAGTACTTCGTGCTTCGTGCATTTCACTTTGGTGCCTCCAACGTGGAATATGTGAATTTGAAGGTCCTTCTATGATGCAAACGCGACCCTGCCTGTCTGTTTTCGTGGCGAATGATAGTGTGATTTGATTGGGGAGGGCTGGTAGGCGCAGGTAGAGGTGGGTAGTCGTACAAGAAAGTTGGGGCTAAATGCGTCTTCTTTGTTATATTTGAGAAAGAACAAAAAGGAGGCAAAAGTAGGTCGAAGTGAGTGCTGCGAGAAAATGTTGGTAATGAGGGTAGTGAGGTCAGTTGAGTCGAATTTTGACTCATTGAATGACCTGGAGAATTGTGGAGGGTCATAAACCACTAGTATGTGGTCATCACCTCAGCTCAGCTCACCTCACGTCACCTCACCTCAGTTGAGCCCACTGCACCCCTCTCTACCCCAACCCAACCCCACGCCACCTCACTCTTCGAGGCGATCTGGACGGTGGATTGGATTGGATTGGATTGGATTGGCGTGGCGTGGAGTGGAGTGGGGTGGAGTGGAGACACACCTTCTGGAGGCAGTTGAGAGGCTGACTTGTGCTGAGTTGTGGTGTGGCCAATCCTCGAGGTGGGGAAAACAAAGGGTGACTTGTGATGGTGGCCCGTGGGAGCGAAACACGATCCGAGTTTGTGAGAGTGCTGGACGTTGTTTGCTCTGTGGGCACTTCATTGTTGTCGCATGTTCTCAACCCACTCAATCAATTATGAATGACACACCTTGACATTTT